TATATAGTGTAGAGTACTACACAGAGAAACACAGTATATATAGTGTACAGTACTACACACAGAAGTGTATATATAGTGTACAGTACTACACAGAGACACACAGAAGTCTATATATAGTGTACAGTAATACACACACAGAAGTCTATATATAGTGTACCGTGCTACACAGAGACACACAGAAGTGTATATAGTGTACAGTACTACACAGAGACACACAGAAGTGTATATAGTGTACAGTACTACTGTGGTGCCGCCGCAGCGGAGCCGCTCCAGCGGAACCGCGCCCACTACCGCGGCGCCATCACCTATGCCGCGGATTTCCCGCCACTCTCCTGGGGCCGGTGCCTTCTCAGACGTCCGCGTTTTGGCCCCTGCACAGTCGTGAGGCCGCTGCAGCAGGGCCACTCTGCCGAGGTCGTGCCCACCGCTGCAAAGCCGCCACCGGGGGATGTCGACGCCGACGCTGCGCACCCTCACCCCCCACACACGAACGTACACACGCTCCACGTAGAGCCAGGAGGGGAGGTCACCCGGCTGATAGGTTTTTGTCCAGAAGTCCCTAGTGGGATCGAACTTCATGGTTTCCTGCGGCCGGGAAATTGGGCGATCCTCCCCCCTGTAGCTGACATGCACTGCGGCGCCGCGACCTGATATTAAAGTTGCATGGTCGCGGCAAGGGCCATCGAACCACCGCGAGTGGAGCCTCACACATGCACGGGTCAGTGGACTGGTAGCGGGAGAACAGAGAGCGGACGTCGGTGAGATCACTGCGGCGACGTCATCTGTTTGCCCAATACTCATCTATTGGGCAAACAGACACTGCCGCACACTGTTGTTCCAGGGCATTTCGTAAATTGCATAATCTTACCAATGAATTCATTAGAAGTATATTGGTCATTCGTTTCATTAATTGCCTTACTGTACCAATGAATCTATTGAGGAAACTAACATTTATGAACATCTATGTTACGACTCTACACACTCACAGGAATACTATTGTGTTGAGATTTATTTCTTTTGATGATGGAATCTTGCCCACAAATCAATTCAAGCCCATTAGCCAATTGATATGCATCTATTAGGCAAACAGACACTGCCGCACACTATTGTTCCAGGGCATTTCGTAAATTGCATAAACTTTCCAAATGAATTCATTGAAAACTACTTTTGCCTTAGGCACATGTTTCTTTATTGCTGTTCGTATGAATATTGTCACATTAATTTTTAAGGAATTTTTCCTATCGCTGTGTATGGTCGCTTTACTCTGAGGAATTAGCCGATTGTTCCGTTACCCAGCTTAACAAACGTAACCAATGAGGGGTAAATGTATGGATCAATGAGGAGGACATCTCCAGGAGTACTGTGTTGACATTCCTAGCATAAGAGTTCGCATATTATAGTGTTATGTTTGTTTTACATATTTAAGTTGCTTAACATAGAAGAGTCTGATGTACATGGCGTAGCTCTCATTCCTGCGATGGTGTCGCTTCTTGCCATCCTTGCGCGTCGCCTTGGTAACGGCGCCTTCATAAGTTAATGAGTAATAATATTAATTATAATAACTGTTTCCTGTGGTAAGATTAAACATAATCAGTAAAAGTTAAAGCGAGAAACATTGTATTATCACGATTGATAATACACCCTAGACAACGAAGCCTAGCTTAAATAGTATAATCACCTACACTTGCATAACTTCATTCAATTAGATCATCATTGTATTATCACGATTGATAATACACCATAGACAACGAAGCAAAGCCTAATTAGCATGATTACATACACTTGCATAACTTCAAACAATTACAACTCCATTTCATTATTACATTAGGTAATACCCCAAGACAATGAAGCTGAGCATAATTAGCATAAATGCATAATTTGCATAATTAGCATAGTTTGTTTTGATTAGCCTGATTTAGGGAAATTAAAAAAAATGTCAATTGGCATTTAATTTTTATTATTTTCATTATTTTTCAAGGTCTAATATATACAACATGCGTCCGTGACTATTATATCCGAGTTGATTTTTTACATTCTGCCCCCTAAATGTCGTACACTATGTCCTGTGGAGTTTCGCTGCTTTGCCGCAAACGGCGGTTCATTGGGCACTATTGGGAAAATAACAGCGGAGGTGTGTATTGGAGATGTCAAATTTGACGGGACCAGTTCTTGTATCAACGTCCCTTGCTGTTTCTTGCTTGCTCGGGACTGACGTCTTGGGGAAGATGCTCCTGAAAATTTTGATCAGTCAGGGTTGCCTTGAGTTACCATTGGACCATTGAATGGCCTTTTTGCCTTCTCCCACTCGAATGTGCATGGCCAATACTACTGTGCAAGCGCTTGCAAGCAAGACCGTAAAGATTCCCCCTGGCGTGCAAATATTTGTTCCCTTTCAATTATGCAAGCCGCTTGATCAGGAGGCGACTGTGGGAGGAATCCTCCTAGGACCCTCAAACAAAGACATTCGTGGGATGACGTTGGTGGGGGCCCAGACTCAGGTATCTAATGACCAGGAACCGTTCATTCAAGTCCTGAATGCAGGGTTGGATACATCTGTCATTCAGGAGGGCACCGTGCTAGACTACGCATCACCCATGCATCACGAGGGAAACATTGTTGGTGGTGTGGGGGTCGTTGTCGAATATGAAGTCGCAACAGTTTTTTGATGAAAAGTGTATGGGTACACTTTGTTCTGAAAATTCGGAGTTGCCCGAGTCCCAGATGGGGTAGTTGACGGAGATTTTGTGTGAATTCTCCGATGTATTTAGCAAGGGCAAATTTGACATCGTCCATACTACGCTTTTGAGTCACCACATTGATACGGGCGATGCTGCTCCCATCGGGCAGCACCCCTATCGACTGAGCCCTATGGAAAAAGAACACGTACGGCTGGCGGTTGTCCCTATCTTTATGTCAGACGCTTTGAGTTGCAGTCTGACCATGCAGTGCTATAGTGTGCACTGCCTATTGAGCAGCCGTCTGGCCAACTTTCAAGTTGGTTGGCAGTCCTCCAGGTCTATTCCTTTACTGTTTTTGATCGCAAAGGTACCCGACACACGAACGATGGGTGCACGTTTTACTCGGGCTCGTGGCACTGTAAGACGCCTACCAAGGACTCGCCCCCTCCCCTTGTGGCATCAGTCGAGGTTGAAACCTCTGAGGAAGCCGAGAGTCATGTGGCGCGTGACGCTGTCATTGTCTTGGACCATGCTGAATGGGGGCGCCTCGAGCATGAGGGCGCAGCCCTGTTCAAGTTACGGCGCCATGTGAAGGAGGCAGATTGGGGTGGGGATCGACGGGGTGTAGCCTCTGTCATCCTCAGAGGCGGATTGCTCATGCATTGCCGTTACAACATTGTCGTGCCTACTGCCTTACGGGGTGAAGTCATCTGGGCGGTGCACGAGCCACTGTTGCACCTTGGTGTGCATTAGATACTCGCCACACTTAAGCTCGACTTCTTCTAGCATGGCATGGCGGAAGATGTCGCTAATTTATTGAAGGGGTGTGTGCAGTGCACGCAGCGGAAACCCGCGTCTAAACCCTGTTGTCCACGGTTGAAATCCATTCAGGTCTCCCGCATAAATGAGCTGGTCGCTCTTGATATCCTTGGTCCATTTCCCTCGTTGCAATAAGTATTTACTAGTGGGCGTCGAATATTTTTCACGCTGGCCAATAGCCTGGCCGCTTCCCAACCAGTCAGTGGCAGCCATCACCGAGGCATCCTCGATGTCTATGTGATGAACAAGGGGGCCCCTGAGCATCTTCTGACTGATCAGGGTAAGACTTTTTCTTCGAAATTGCTGCGGGAGGTGTGTGAATTATTGGGAACAAAGAAAGTACGTACATCACCACACCTTCCACAAACGGATGGAATGGTAGAGCGCTTGCACAGGACTATGACTTCGATGGGATATTTTCAAATTCCCCCAGGGACCCCCAGGCAGAGTAAGCCCACCTCCCCTCGGGGCCTGGCCACAAGGACTCGATCAAAGACTCTCGCTTTTCGTGATCCCCATACAAACACGCTCCCACACCATCAGTCGGTTGTCACACTCGGCAGGCCTGGCCTTTATTGTGATTGCGGGTGTTGTTACATGGTGAGGGTGGTAGATGCTGGTGCTGGAAGGGGTCCCGAGGTTATGCGTGTTTCTGCGTTTTTTTTTTCTCTGTGTTCCCTTCTCTCTCTTCCTCTGTTTTTGCCTATTGTCGTTCTGTTCTTACATCCCCTTTGCCCGTTAGTTACTGTTTATTCTGTATGTAGTTGTACATATTGTATAGAAAGGGTTGTGGTATTTATTTGTTGAGGTACACTAAGGTGTTTGGTTCATTTGTTGAGGGGGGATGCCTGAGTGCTACGTAGGGGGGGGGGGGTTAATGTAGTGACATCGCGGACACCACATTGGTGTGGGAGTTGTACTGGCCCTAGAGGTGCCCGTTGAGTGCTTATTGATAGCGCTAGATAGCACCACGCTTGGCGTGTAGTGTCAGCCCTACAGTACAGGGTGTTGGAGTGCCGGCCATAGGAATGAGGTTACTAAAGGCCATGGCACTCTGGTTGAACCGAGAGCAAAGGTCAAGCTCAAGGATCAACAGTGTCTGGTGCCAAGGGGGGGGGGGGGTGTGGAGTGACGCGCTCCAGCCCAGTGGACGATCTCTGAGCGCTATCTTGTGATGGGACTATCGCTCACATCGATGCAGACGGAGTCGGATCCATCATCCCTGCCAGCACAGGCACGGGCGCCAGTGTGAGCAAGCGTGCAGCCAAAAGCGCCGTGTGTTCGATGCACATACACACCCCGACCAGGCGCCCCTGCTGAGGACTTGAGGTATTTTCCGTACAAGGAATGCTGAACCGCGGAAGCCACTGATTCGTAAGAACCACAGTTAGCAGTAATAGTAGGTGGACAACTCAAACCATACTGTCCGCTATAATTATTGGACCTCGTGGTGACTGCCCTCCCACACACACACTGCACGCATATCGGTACGAATAAGATTGTTCCAAGTTTCTAAAAGGGTTTCCATCTCAAGGTGGTGTGTTAACTATTAGCTGATCGTGCAAACATTGTTCTGTCGCTTGAGTTGCATGAATAGGGTCATTTCAAATTATTTCAGTCATTCGTTTCCTTCATCGCGTAACCTTACCAATGACTTCGTTGATGACACACTAAACATTTATAATAATCTATGTTATGAATCTACACACTCACATGAATACCATTGTTTTGAGATATTTATTTTGATCACAGAATATTGCCGGCGAATTAATTGATGTGCCATTAGCCAATTGATAAGCATCTGTTAGGCAAACCTACACAGCCGAACATACACTATTGTTTAGAGACATTCTGTTAATTGCTTAATCTTTCAAATTAATTCATTGATGTCCACTTTTGCCATTGGCCACATGTTTCTTGAGCACGGTTCCGTCATTTTTAAGGACTTTTTCTATCGTCGTGTATTGACGTGCTACTGTGAGGAGTTAGCCTATTGTTCTATTGCTCAGTTTAAACAACGCAACCATTGAGGGTTAATTGTATTGATCGATGAGTAGGACATATACAGGAGTACTGTGGTGGCAATTTCGATCATTAAGTGTGTTCGGAAATTAGAGTGTTTTTAGATATTAAAGTTTCTTAACACAGAAGAGTCTGAGTGGTTCCTTCCTCAGTTCATGCGTAATTATCTTAATTATAAGAACTGTATCCTGTGGCGAGCTCTGAATTCTGAGACCGGACGTAATAACACTAAAACATTATCAGTAAAAGTTAAAGCGAAAATCATTGTATTGGTAATACACCCGAGACAACGAAGCCGAGCCTAATTTATATAATTTGAATATATTTGCATACTTCAATAACTATTTTATTTTGATAAAATTACAATTTTAGAATGTATTTTTTATTATTATTATTTTTCAAAACAATATATACAACAAGGCTATAGGGAGACCTTTGTCTTCATCTCCGTGTCCGTGTGTCTCCTTGACTGTCTCCATGTCTATATCCGTATCTCTCTGTGTCTCGTAATGAGAGCAAATGCCCAGTCGGATGAACCTGAAGAGTTTCACTCAGTGGTGGGGCCTCAACCATCACACGGCCCCACGAAAACAAAGCACCTGTATGGGTATTTTATGCTGAAGGTTGTCGATGTTTTTGTGTGTAAGTGTGTGTGACTTTTTAAATGGGTAATTTAAAAACTAAATTATTCCCAAAATTGCCCTCATCATAAATTAATGAAAATGTTTTTTGAACCAAGAAAATTTGGATTTTTTCTTCTTGGCCATGGCGGTACTGTTGGTGGCATTGATAGCGGTGCTGGTGGCAGTGGCGGTGGCGGTGATTTCCTTGGCATTGGTGTCGGTGTTGGCGGGGGTGGCGTTGGTAACGGCGGTGGCGGCGGCAGTGGCAAGACGAAGCGTCTCAATCTCCTGAAGGAGGGTCTCCTTCTTTCGAAGCAGCGTCACGTTCTCCAAATGCAGCCTCTCATTTCCTTGACGCAGCATCTCATGTTGCCACATCGCTCGCTCTTGTAGCATCGTCTCCGCTTGCATCGCCACGAACTCCTGACGAGTCACCTCCATCCCTGCACGTAGCGTCGTGTTTTCCTCGTGCAGCTTCGATCTTCTCCGCCCCAGATTCTCGTTCTGCTGTCGAAGCATCGCGTTTTGCACTTCAAACGTTAACAAGGCTGAAAAGTGTGAAACAGGGATCATCATTAGGAAAGGGACTGAAATAGAAAATGTACTTTCTCTGCAATGTAGTGATAACTTTATTTGCAACTGTATTGTATTTGACATATCTCCACGTCTGTTTACAGACCAGTGGAAAAGTTACCCTCGATAAAATTTGAAATTTGAAGTGTCTTGAGTTATCAGCGGGTAATATAGAAGATAACTTTACAATTAAAGCATGTAATGGGTAACGTTGCCAGCACATGATGAGATGTGTTTACAGCTATGCTCAATTTTTTTCAACTCCGCTTATTACAAATTTATTTTTAATCAACGAAGGAAACGTGATGAAAAAATAAAAGCACGAAACTTCACGCACTCCCACACAAATACATACACACGCACTTTCAGACAGATATATATCGAGATTCACAACCTCACATCAAGACCCATACACCCACACCGCATGTTTCTACTTACCATGTTTCCAATGACGCCGCTTCATGACCTGAATGAAAACCGTCATGACCATCAACCCAATCATGAGCAATACCAAAGTCCATGCCAGTGAATCCGTGCCAGGGTTCGGGCATGGTGGCTTGGGGATGAGATGTGAAGCTTTGCATATGTTGCCCACGAAGAGGGAGAAGAGGAACCGGACAAATTTGATGCAGAACTGCAACAGCAGCAGCAGTAGCATCAGCATCTTGCCGCTTGTGTTGTCAAAGTCCGTGTGTGAGTGCCAAGTGCGAGCGTGCGTTCTTATAGCACTCCCAGTGGTGACGTCATCAGTTCCGGCCGTGACGCATTGTTACAGGTTTCCTGTCATGACACGTGGTTAGAAAATCCCCTGTGACATCACAAGCACGACTGCACAATAATTATTTCGTTTAGGTGAAAAAAACATTTACACTAATGTACGCTAGATTTGATCAACGAAACCTCTGCATTGCAAATTTAATTTGATAATCATTAAATCAATGGGCACACTTATTTTACACTCGATTCAAATGTTTGTTTTTATTCCGTTTAACATGTCAGCTTTCGTGACCAATGTTTTCCATAATAGAGGTTTTTGGGTTAGATCTCTTGAATATAAATGTGTCGTCAAACTCACCACCACTATCGATTAAGCCTGCTCCATTCCCATTGAAACTACCTTCTCTTGCTGTTCACGTTACCCTTACACATTTACAAATTTGCGTTTAGATTATTTGGCTGCTATGAATTTCAACGTGATAAGCTTCTACGTTCAGCTATCATTAGTCAACAGTTTGCTTCTGAAAAGTAGCGAATAGCTTGGAAGGTGTTCCATAGCAAATGCAATAGTTTAGTTTAAACGTTTCACCATTCACCATCATTGTCAACCTTTATCATCCAACATTAACAATTTACAATGTGTCATTAATTGTAAATGTTGCGGGCTATGTAGGAGCCTAAATGTACAACATTTACAATTGTAAATGTATTTTTTATTACTATATGTACCTTATTTTATTTTTTCATTATTCATGGAAAGTTGTTTCATATTAAGTAAATAAATCGTACTGAAATAATTTTGGCAGTAGGAAAATAATACACTGGAATGAAATCCCAATTTCATAGCACTTCATGCCAATGAAGTGCTATGTCCTACCAGACAGTCTCGCTCCCTTCACCTGATGAAGGCCGCTTGTGTTGTGGCCGAAACGTCGTGAGAATATTATTGTGTTATTTTATTTTATCAATTTATTATTTTATTCTCATTCTACGTGACTTTACCGAAAGAACCAAAGAAGAATATATCACGACGTTTCGATCGCAACACAAACGGTCGTCCTCAGGCAGAATAAATCTCCCCCATTAACACAACTGACTTGCTTGCGTCCGTGGATGGAATTGCTTTCCATCTCAGACCCAGCTTGCTTGCCCATCGCCACATATATAACCACTTGTTGTAACAGCTCTCTCGCGCTATCAGCAGTTCCACTCTGGATTATTTTTTCCGCCTGAGGACGATTGCTTGTGTTGCGATCCGAACGTCGTGAGAATTTTTTTTATTTTGTTTTCTTTTTCTACCTACGTGACTTTACCGAAAAAACCAAAGAGTATACATACACAAGGTCCAATCTTAATTGGCGCCACAGTTGTGAAATGTTGCTCCCTCGCCTTGTATGCAGAAGGATTTGGGTTCGATCCCGACCATGACACCTGTATATTTGGAGTTTCCACGTCTGTCTCAGTGGTCGCATGGATTTTTCTCCAGGTCTTCCGTTTTTTTTCCCTCCACATCAACATCACAAGTTTAGAGTATTTGGCTTATCTACATTTCCACGAAATAAGCCACTTCGTTGAGCTTTTCAATTGGTGGAAAAGTCGCTTCTCCACAATCTATATTGCTCAGATGACTTTTACATCCGCGGTATTAACTGGGGTGGCCACTGAAATTGAACCTCAAACCCCTGCAAAACTAGACATCTCCACTCCTCATCTTTGTCATCACTTTTAAGACATTTGTGTTTTACTTTGTTGTAATAATAAAACGATAATGAATGCACACAATATTTTACCGATTTAAAATATACTCACTTTGAGAGGAAGTGTGTCGGAGCTGGCGAACAGCAGACGAGCTTCGAGCACAATCGGGCACCGTCAGGGACGAGCGTCATGCCGACTCAGCGGTCATCCAGCAGCAGAGAGGCCTGCAGTTGCCGCCAAGAGATAGAGAGCGCCATGTGTATGACACGCCCACACACACGACTCATTGCCCAGCAGGGAACCAAGGCATTTTCGGAACAACCAGACGCCAAGGCGCCTTGACGTCTGCTTAAGAAGAAAATACACCCACACACACATAACGCACATATCGGGACTAATAAGATTACTCCAAAGTTCTCCTTGTGTTTCGAAAATGGCAATCCCAATGTGGTGCGTTAACTAATAGCTGATCGTGAAAAACATTCTTGGGTCCATTGAGCTGCATGAATACGGTCGTTTAGAAGTATATTGGTCATTCGTTTCATTAATTGCCTTACTGTACCAATGAATCTATTGAGGAAACTAACATTTATGAACATCTATGTTACGACTCTACACACTCACAGGAATACTATTGTGTTGAGATTTATTTCTTTTGATGATGGAATCTTGCCCACAAATCAATTCAAGCCCATTAGCCAATTGATGTGCATCTATTAGGCAAACAGACACTGCCGCACACTATTGTTCCAGGGCATTTCGTAAATTGCATAAACTTTCCAGGGGTGCGAGACGTTAGGGGTCGTTAGTCTGGACCTGACGGAGCAGCCGGGGGGTAGCGGTGTGAGTGGAACGGGGGAGTCGGTGAGCAGCGGCCCCGACAATTCAGTGATGGCGGGGGACGGTAGCCCCCACACTACACAGAGACACACATAAGTGTATATATAGTGTACAGTACTACACAGAGACACACAGAAGTGTATATATAGTGTACAGTACTACACAGAGACACAGAAGTGTATATGTGATGCTGCCGCCACGGAGCCGATCGGCGGGTGGCCCACCTGCGATCTCGCCGCTCCGAGCGGCGAGGCTGACATTGCTCCACTCCACCACCTCCCCACCCCCCCCCCCCACCGGAACACACACGCACGCACTCCCCCCCACCATTAGAGCGCGTGGGGAGACACCCTGGCCGACAGGTTTTCACCCAGAAGCCCTCGTAAAGGGATAATCTTCACGGTTTCCTGCAGCCAGGGAATTGGACGGTCTCCCCCGACGCTAATGTGATGCCGCCGCCACGGAGCCGATCGGCGGGTGGCCCACCTGCGATCTCGCCGCTCCGAGCGGCGAGGCCGACATTGCTCCACCCCACCACCTCCCCCCCCCCCCCCCCCCCCACCGGAACACACACGCACGCACTCCCCCCCACCATTAGAGCGCGTGGGGAGACACCCTGGCCGACAGGTTTTCACCCAGAAGCCCTCGTAAAGGGATAATCTTCACGGTTTCCTGCAGCCAGGGAATTGGACGGTCTCCCCCGACGCTAACACCCACCGCGGCGCCGTGACTTTGGTTGTAATTACATGGTCACGACGGGGCTGCCGAGCCACCGCGGGTAGACAACACACACAACACACACGGGTCAGCAGGCAGGTAGGAGGGCAGAGCCACGAGCGGCGGGAAAGCGGGAAAGCAGGGTCGCCCTCTGGCTGGAGGGTTGCTGAGCAGGTAAATTTAGATGCGGACGTCGCTGAAAGCAACGGCCCGGGGGATGCTGGGATACAGATGGGCCTACCGATTGGCGGGTGATCCCAGCGAGCTGATTGGCCCGCGAGTCGGCACCAGGTAGCCCCTTTGATGTAGAAAGAATAAAGCGGGTCAGGGCGAAGGAAAAAGGTTCTCTGGCTACTCGAGTCAACCCCAGGCCCGTCAACTCCCGAGTCCAGCCGCGCGAACGTCCGTGGGACGTATCGACGCGCCGCGAGGACCAGACGGCAGTGACGACGAACCGTGAGTAAGAGAGAGAGAGAGGGAGTTGGGACTTAGCTTAAGAGCAAAACCGGAGAGGGTAAAGGGGAGAAGGACAGGTAGAGTGTAGTGCCGACTATCGAGAGATAGATCGGTCCTGCCCCGCTGATCCCGACTGACTCGGTTAAATAAGGGCTCGCCGACGCGGTGGAATAAATCGTCGGCGGTTACATAACGGACTGGTGTGGTTTTTGCGGAAGCGTGGGTGCGCTTGCTGTCGCGGTGGTCGTTACATAACAGACTGGTGTGGTTATTGCGGAAGCGTGGGTGCGCTTGCTGTCGCGGTGGTCGTTACATAACAGACTGGTGTGGTGGTTTTTGCGAGGGTGTGGAAAGAGAGTGGAAGCGTGGGTTCGCTTGCTGTTCTCGGTGGTCGCCGCGTGTGTGGAGCGGCGCCGCGTGGATTGTGTGCGCTACGAACCGTCGGCTGCGGACTCCTGCGTTGCGAGCGGATACCCGTCTCGCACGCATGCCCATCGCATAGCCCTTTAAACCCGTTTAAACCAATCCCCCCAAGCGTTGGAGTGAGCACGAACGACGTCGCTTACCCTCCGACCTTTGACCCCCTGTTACCCGCGTGTGATTGGTGCGTGGGACTGCGCGGGCGGGGAGCGTCGCGTTTGGGTGCCGGCGAAGCGCTAGCGGGTCCCAGGGAGGTCGAGTGTGATGCCCCACCGGCAGGAGACCCGGACTCGGGGGGGGACGGCACAGGGGGGGGAACAGGAGCGCGACGACCTTTCCCCGCCAGGGGAGGAGTGCGGCGGCGGCAGCTCCCACACTAGTGGAGAGTCTGGGAGCGTCGGTACTTCGCGGACAGGGTCGCAGGCAGGGGAGATCCCGGGGGCCGGCGACCCTAACAATATGGTGTCAGAAGCGGTACGAACCCCCGCGTTACCCCACGCGAAAATAAGGCATATATTCACTGGCCGGGGTACACCTTCGTGGAGAGCATTTGCCCGCAACGTCCTAGGGGCTAAGGAAATTAATGGGTGGACGGACGCGCAGACGCTACGTCAACTTAATATGAATCTGGATGGGCGGGCAGCCGATTTTGTGGAAGCCCTACCCGCAAGCGCGCAGACACAGCTAGAGGAGCTGATGCGCCGACTTGATCTGCGCTTCGGTACGCGCGATGAGGAGGAGGCAAAAGCGGCCTTAGAGGCACGCCGTCGCCAACCCGGCGAGGACCTGCGCGATTATGCCGAGGATGTGCGTGAGCTAACAAAGATCGCACGCCCGAGGCACACCACGGAAGCGATTGAGGAGCTGGCCACAGAGAAAATCCAGCGATACTTAATGCGCACGGCGTGGTGGCAGCCAGACGTGAACTGTACGCGCCTCTCCTTTGATGCCCTTGTCGAGCGCGCGCGCAAATGTGAAATAATTTCTAGCGAACGCGCACAGCTCCGAGGACTGGGACGGGAGCGCACCATCGCAAGTCTGTCCACCGAGGAGGAAGAGGAGGAACAGGAGCTCACCAGGATGGTAGGGGGTCGGGAAAGGGGGCCTCCGGTATCCCGCGAGACCACCCCGGGATGGGTAGCGGGGATACAGGCGGGCATCGGGGGGATCGACAACAAAGTAACCCAAGTGGACAACAACGTAACCCAAGTACGGGCACATGTGACTACGCTGCAGACTACGGTAGAGACGATTCAGACCGAGTTGGGAGGGCTAGCTGGGAGGGTAGCCCGACTAGAAGCAGAGTCTGGGCAGCGGCGCACGGGGGGGAGAGGGAGCGGGCAGGGTGCCCACTATGGAGCCGCCACCCCCCCCCGGGCGTGTTATATGTGCGGCTGTCAGGGGCATCTCATGAGA